GAAGGAAGGAAGGAAGGAAGGAAAGGGGGTGGTGGGTTGGAATGCAGCTCACATGGCATCCAGTATGAATGATGAACTCTCGAATAAGTCTATTTCATATGCTGTGCAGGCTGCGGAAGAATGCAAGTCCGTTTTTGGGTCAGGAGTGCAGGCAAGATTGCTCCTGCCATTCAGAGGGCTGTACCCAAAGGTGTCTCTCCGGGATAAGAGAGACAAAGAGGATGACGACCAAAATGTGACTTGGGGGGGGAATTCCTCCTCCTCACCTGATACTCTTCCAACTCTGTGGTCGTCAGAGAGAGGCTTGAGCACTGGCCCATGTCTCCTGCCCGGAATGTTCAATGGCCGGAAGAAGAAGAAAAAAAGCATGGAACCAAGCCTTTGGTCACCCTTGGCGACCAGGGACACACCCCTCGGACAGCAAGGGCACGCGGTTGCTTTCGAGAACGGCGGGTGTCCCGCGTCTCCTGATCACCCACAGCTTCTCAGCCACTAACCCTAGACCTTTTGGGTTGCCTCTCAGGTGCCCTCAAAAGAAGAAGAATAAAAGGAGTGCCGTCATTTACGTACAACAGCGCCTGTTGGCTCATTTTTTAAAATAATAATTATTTCAGTCAAGCCTGTTCTTAGTGCTGCAGGTATAAATAAATAAATAAATAAATAAATAAATAAATAAATAAATAAATCAAATAAATAAATAAAGATGATTTTTAGTATTTAAAGAACATTCCAGTGCATCTTGCTCCGGTAGGGAAGACAGTGGCCTAATAGCCTGCATTCCAGCTGCTGGGTTTGTTTCCAAGCGGCTGCTCAGAGTGGTTGATGGGCAACCTCCAGGTCCTCAATCATCCTCTTCCTTACCGTTCTCAGCTCCCTCTGTGACTGGGACAATCCTTTCACTCTACCCTGCAGGGTTGTCGTAAGAATGCTTTCACATTAGAATTTATTGGCCAGATTGACACTGTTGTTACGTAGAATCCTGTAGATCACGAAAGGGAATCGCCACGAATAAACGGGTGGCCGTTTGCCTTCCCTACCCTGTGCCAAGTCATGCGACAGGGAAGCAGCCATCTGTGCCGGCGGGAGTTGGTTAAGGAAGCAATTTGCCACCATGGATTATGCACAGAGGCTTTAACGACGGGGTGAATCCCCAATAGCATTCTGACTCCTGCGCTTTTTTCCCAGTGGATCTGTTTTGAAAATGTATGTTGTAAATGTATGTGTGGCCTGACTTGGAGAAAGGGTGCCATGTAAAACAAAGAAATGAACAAATGAGTGAACGAGTAAGCGAACAGATGAATGAATGAATGAACGAACGAACAAATGGGGAATGACAGTATCTGTCTTCCTGATTTGTTGGAATAAAATCCTCACTATTTCCCATATTGAGGGGTAATGTGACTTGTAGTCCCACACATCCAGAAGGCACCCAGTAGGGAAATGCTCGTGTATCCGGGCTGTCACATTATTTACTCGACCAGCCCCAGGTTTGTCATTGATCTCGTTTTTCTCATTGATCTCCTCTCCAAACATGTCAGTTGAGAGTTGATTTATTACTCACTCCCATGATGGCGTAGGTGGCCCATGGGTTTTGTTTGAAGGGTGGAAAAGCAGAGGAGAGGAGCCGGCCAAGCACGTTTTTTTTCTAGCTCGGAACAGTTACTTTTTTGGCCTTTTTTTGGTTGGAACAGTTATTTTTTTGGTTCCACCGCCCGCTAGCCTCCCCTTCCCGTCCCCTGGTAACTCTTCCGAGCTCTGCTTTCATGGCCTTTCAAAATCTTCGATCTGGTTGCGTACTTTGCATGCACGATTCTTTTTTACACAAGCTGTTCCCTGGGTGGCATTTGTGAAAAGCTGGACTATTAATCATAAATTACAGGTGAACTTGATGGGCCTGCCCAACCAACTACGGCGCTACCATTCCCGAGCGATACTCTACAATCAGTTCACCTCTTTAGTTTCTGGATGGCACACATAACCTCTGAGCCGCACTGCCACGGGTCCCTCTAGCTCCCCACAGTCAGTCGGTCAGTCGTAGGCAGAATGAAGCATCTCAACTCCTGCCCGACGTGGGCCCGATCCTACCTGGGACTGAACGGGCACCGGAGTAAGCGTTTCCCACTGCGTTCCAGCCCCTCTTTTCTTTTGTGGATGCGTTTAGAAGACTTTTAAAAACCCTGTCTTTCCCAAAGATTTGCAGGGGACTGAGGGGGAAGGCAGCACTCTCCGGGCATTTTACAATTTATGCGGGGGATGCGTTGCCCCCCACCCAGTGAGCCGAGTGCTCATTTACTGGCCTCAGAAGGATGGAAGTCTGGGTGAACCTCAAGCCGGCTACCTGGGATTGAACCTGATTCGGGAGCAGAGTTTTGGCTGCAGTACTGCAGTCTAACCTCTGCACCAGGAGGCAACAGAACTAGAGTGATGTAGGAGATCTCACCTCAATAACACAGTTTTGTTTTTCAGAAGATACAGGTCATAGAAGGTAAACCTGGTAAATGACAAAATCCCATTACACCTGACCACTGGTTCTTGTGCCTGGAGCTGATGGGAGGTAGGGAGTTTGGTAACATCAGGAGGCTAGAGGTTCTGCAACCTGATATAAATCATTTCCAAATAAATATGTTCGATCACTATAAAGAAGTTCTCTTTGGGAGAACAGACAGCCAAGTTCAGTAGAGAGCATGATTGCTTCAGTGAGTAAAGAAAACATTCATGCTATGTCAAACTATGAATGAGTTCAACTGCAGTCCTGCAGCCAAGCCTCTGCTCACCACCTGAGTTCAATCTAGGCCCCAGGTAGCCAGCTCAAGGTTGACTCTGCATTCCATTCTTCAGAGATCAATAAACTGAGTAGCCTGCAAGGGGTGTGTGTGGATACCCTGCATAATTCAATTGTAATCCCCCCAGAGAGTGCTTTAAGTGCTATGGGGTAGTATAAAAGCAGCACCCTTTAACGATATAGGATAACATCCCCTAGAACAGGCTGCAGTGACCCTCTGGCAGGCCACCTCCCACGGTCCTTTATTGTTAGCAATAGAGTCTGGGGATTCTGGGGGTTGTAGTCCAAAAAGCTAACATTCCAAAGGCTCGCTAAAGTGCCACCACAGCCCTAGAAGCTCCCAGCCAACCCTCAGTTGTGTGCATTCTGGCAGAGCAGGCTGAAAAAAAACCCTTCAAGACTAGATTTGCGGCCAGCAAATGGAGACGAGGCAGGGCAGGGCCCTCTTAAAAGCAAAATGAAAACACAGACTCTAAAAAAGGCAAGTTAACAATCTCCACCTTTGGAGCCTAAAATCCACGATGCCACTGCCATGGAAGAAAAAGGAAGTAATGCTTTCCTGCGTTCCAATAAAATCCCTGCAATAAAAGAGCCAGCCCAGGATGCCAAGGGGTCATTTAGAAGGGCTCTCTTGTTCTTGCTCTGATGTGCTATGTTTCTAGTTGCAGGGATTTTTTTTCTTCCAGAATCAGCTCTTTTTCATTCACCCTCGATAACTGAAGCAGCGCCGTCCGGTTTCCCACCTTTTTGCCGACAGCGCAGACTTAACCTGCGCAGCGAAGGGGGCAGTGAGGAAAAAAATTCAGCACTGAAAAAAAAGAGGAATAAACGCTTTCTCCTATCCTGCAGAAACGTCTGTTATCCCCAAGGTATTTAGAAAACCTTAAACTGTTAATCAGAAGCAAGTGGACATGGCCTTTTCAAGGAAGCATCTCTCGGACAAAGCAAGAGCATTCAAAACCTTGGGGGGGGGGATGCCAAAACGGGCACACGTTTTCTCATCAGAAAACATCCAAATGAGAAAAGCACAATGCGAGGCTTCACAAGTTATCAGAAAGGACCATACCCGAAGACAGGGTTTGCCTCACGTATTGTACTACTGATTTGCAAAACGTAAGATGTAAAAATTTGGTGCCAAAGTTCTATTCCCGTCAGTAAATATTGAGTTCCGTCACTTCACACAGCTGCCCCTGACCTGAAATTTCAGAGCGCAATGCCAAGTTCTGCGCCACCAGTGAGATGTGCATTGCCACCGTACCTATATACCTGCAGGTCAGCCCCATTCGCATGCAGGTGAACATGTTACACCAGGAGTTACAGTTCTACATGGAATAGCTACGATTCTACCTGCCTGGAAAGAGGTCCTTCTAAACACGGCAGAACTTGCTTCCAAGTAAACATAGACAGGTCTGCATTGTCTGTTTTTGAAATACACAGAAATCCTAAAACACACTTCCTCTGCTTAATTTGCTCATCAATCTAAACTAATCTATCTCACTTACTACAACAATACATCCACAACAAAAACAGGCTGATCACCCTGTCTCCTGAAAAGGACAAAAGCTGTTCCCACAGCTATAAATACTCAGCTATCCAACAAACAGCAATAGAGCACGGACAGAGTTCCTACTTCAGTCCTCTGAAGATGCCGGCCACAGAGACTGGCGAAATGTCAGGAAGAACAACCTTCAGAACACAGCCAGAGAGCCCGAAAAACCCACAACAACCAATTACATGATTATTTTATGTTCCAATATTTAGAGCTCCCCACCATCTCCAAGAGTTCCTGAACGACTGACCGCTCCCTACAGTGTCTTCTCAGTTGTGCACTGCAAGAGTCGGTGTGAAGTAGAGGGTAGAGTCACAGACTGGGACCCAGGAGACTGGGGTTCAAATCCATGCTAGGACTCAGAAAGTCACTGGGTGTGAGCAGCAGCCCTAAACCTGAGCAATAGATGATCTGTAAAGATGCTCAGTCCTCCAGGTGAGGTTACCTGGAAGTTGAGTCCTGGCAACCGGACTTCTTTCTTGTTAGGTTGAAACGTTTTGCTACTCATCCAAGGAGCTTCTTCAGACCGGACACCAAAACACAACAGGAGCAACAGAGTGTATGCGGTCAAATGCAAAGAGGAGTGTTTGGCGCTCTACGTTGGAGAAACCAAACAGCCTAACTAAACAGGAGAATGTCCTAGGACAGGAGGAGCCATGGCTCAGGGGCCACAATCCGCAGCATTTCTTCATTTGAAGGACAAAGGACACTCATTTGATGATCCAGATGTACTCATTTTGGACTGAGAAGATAGGCGGTTTGAGAGAGGGGTCCGGGTGGCCATACATGTACATATAGAAAATCCCTCACTCAACAGGCCTTAGATACAATCTGTCTCCTATTTATCATGCTGCCCTTTCATCCCTCAGAAAAATTAGGACCACATACACCAGAAATAGACGGTGTTCCGTGTCTAGTCGCGCTAGTCGCGCTGGCCACGTGACCACAGAAACTGTCTTCAGACAAACGCTGGCTCGAGTCTAGTGCTT